TTGGCTCTTTGTTAGCATATTGAAGTGTAATTATTAGATGATGATAAATAGGGGTCCAGGCTTTGTAAGAGCCACTTTTTGGTCATTTTAGGTGATAAAAAGAAGCAAAAATCATCCATTTTCTATTCAGTATGTTACTGCGAAGGTCCTTATTAAATTTAATAAAAAGTCAGTGTGCAGAGAACTAGATGCATGACATTTGTTTTTAAGGAACTTACAGATCGAACTTTTGAAACTAATAATATCTTTATCCTGAACAAATTAGACAATTAGAGAGAAAATGTTTTGTGTCTCTTTGTAGTCAGTTTGCGTCTGTTCGTGCTTGTTTACGTGTCCTTGTAGTCATTTTAAGCTTCATTCAGTTGTGTGATTGACTTTCCAATTAGAAATGTTAACAGTCACTTCAAACAGAGGCTCTGGCCCAGGGGGTAGGCCCGTTCAGTAATCCCTCCATGCCCTTTATGTTTGCATAATGGGTTAGTAGACAGTGATGTGTCATACAGTATTAACTTTTAGCTCACACAACTCTCAGCGCAATTTCTGCAGTTTGCGTTCTGCTTCACAAACCTTCCTCGACACTGACAAAAACTCATCGGTAGGGACAGTTCGTTAATGCCGTCAAGTAGTCCAGAATTTATATTCCTACAGAGAGCGTATGGTAATTAAACCTTATTGCACTGCATGCATTATTGTGTGCCGTGAGACAGTATGCGTGACAAACCCTGCACTGCCCTTTCTCTCAAAGCAGAGAACATGAGCAGTTTGAGGTATATTTCCAAATTCTGCTAAGACCAAACTTGTTGTGATTATTCTAGACGTTCCTGTAATTGCAAAGTGCCGGCAGAAATGTTCTACAAGTGAAGTCTGCTCGCCTGAGCTTTATTTTCAGAGTGGGAGTGGGACGGTAGGGCAGCAGGAAGAACATTTTCCCTTTTATACAGTCAAAGGGATTAAAATGGGTCGGATTTCACAGTTTGATCTGTTTTCAATTACTGGGCCGGGCCGGGTACAGAAGAAAATGCTGAACAATTGAAATCTATGGAGGCAGTAGGTATAGAGTGGGAGAGGGAGAGGAGGAATTGGAATGAGAGACAAGGGGAAATGAAAAGAAAGAGGAGGAAGAGTCCAGGGAGAGAGGAGAGTCCCAGAGAAACAATTGGATTAGACAGAGAGAGAGAAAGAAAGCAGCGGAGAGAGTGTTTGATAAATGGGCTGTTTATTTAGCTTTCACTGTGAATGAGGCAGGGTGTGATGATGTGTTGTCTCCTCTCTCTCTCTGTCTCTGTGTCCCTCGCTATGAGGTCAGACTTTTTTGGCCTGAGCGCTCAATTGGCCGTTCATTGCCAAAGGGTGGGACATCTCGCTGAGTCCTAATGGCTTTCACAGCTGGGTCTCCCCCAGGCCCCCTCTGTCATCAAGTTTCATCCAACATCAAAAAGACACACCTTCCACTTGGCCGCGCTGACGTTTCCCTCCCCCGATGGAAATCAGAGACTCTTGGCTTCTCATAGAGCTCCTGGCTATCACTTGGCCCCCGTTACTTGATGGTTTTCCCAGTATGTTCAAGTTCTGCGTGCGTATCGACGGCCTCGTGGGCTTTCCAGGCAACCTGAGAAAGTATGTGTGGATTTTGAAGGCATCGGGGCTATCAAAGCAGCAGCCGGAGTTGATCATCGCCAGCAGGGTTTGTTTGGAAGAGCGGGAGGGCAAGGAGCTGGCCTGAGTCCACCGCTATCAGATGGGGGGGGGGGTTAACCAGAGCTGCATTGGTAAAACCACCAGTTAATCTCCATCCTTGGAGTAAATTGCTCATTGCTGCCCCCTAAGGCCACCCACTCCATCTACAGAAGTTGATAGTTTTGCCCCCCAATGAGACCATCGCACACTCAAAAACAGACTTGCTTGGGGCACCAGAAGCCCAATCCATGACAACCCTGATGACATCATCAGGGTGTCCAGAGCCACAGAGGACTGTATACGACAAGCTGACTGGTACTGCTTCTCACTAGTACACAGAACAACGTGTAAAATCAATAGAGCGCCCCTCGAGTCATGTTTGACCTTCGTCCTGCTTTTCTCCGTTTCCTAACAATGTCTTTCCACATCTCTCTTTCAGGACCACTGGTTTTGGCGGGTGAGAGATAACTCTGTAATGCCAGGATACCCCATGCTCATCAGCGTTTTCTGGAGGGGCCTGCCACCTAAGATAGATGCCGTCTACGAGAACAGCGAGGGCAAGTTCGTCTTCTTCAAAGGTAGGCTCACATGCTTCATCGCCATCGTCACTGTTGTCACCATACCGCTGTGTAAAGCTATTTTCCATTTCCATCCTGTCCAAATATTGTGTCTGTACCATCCTGGTTTAAATTTTCTTCTCATGTTATTCATCTTGGGCATCCACAGGATATGTTCTGTGTACATGGCTGACATGTCTTTTTGTATAAACTGTTATGCACGTCTTATTAGTATTCAGCGTGTGTTTTCTGTGTGCGTCCAGATATAGAAACAGGTTTTTATGTTTAATAACTGCTGTATGTTATAATGCTCACTCAAAGAACCGCCTTGATCTTATCTGGGTGTGTGAGTTCAATGTAAATCTGTGGAAGATTAAAGCAATGTTTTGCTCACTCGGTTCCGCCATAATCCACCAGTTCTGATTTATAATACTGCTGTTCTGTTTAGTGGTGCTGATAGTAATATGTTTTAGTTTACATTTTCAACTGTAGGTATAATTAGTATGCATAACTCTTGGTAATCACTGTCACGCCATGTGGCAGAGCTTCAGTACTTACTGTCAGTGTTTAATCATCTCTAAGTTAGATTTTTTTTTTTTACCTTTTTGAAGAGATTTGTCTACATATTCAAATCTACTTTACGTTAGCCCCCAAACACAGAGATTTAAAGCTAATTATGTCTAAAGCCGAAAAGCCACTAAAAAGAAATGGCAAACAAACATAGCAGCCCTGTAAACCCGTATTTGCATTCGCTCCGGAGAGGGAGACTGACGGAGAGAGGGTGGTGATGAAAGCAGACGTAGGGAGGTAGTGAAAGTCTGCTGAGGTAAAAACTACAAATCTTCACTCAAACCCATTTCTATTTTAAACCCTCAAACAATTCCTGGAAATGCAGACTACTGGTCCCATGTGAGCCACAAGCTCTGGAAGTTTGATTTCGGTGCTTTATCCTCCACCCTGCTCACTTTCCGGGCTGGGTAGCAATGGGATTGCGCGCAGATTTAGAAAATTCATACCAATAGAACGTCATTTTTTCATTTGAACACGCACAGCTGATTTCCCAGAAGGCCTTATTCTGTCTGTCCCCATTTGGAATAAAAAATTAAAAAGAAAGTCGGTCAGAAAACAAAATGCAGTACTCTAGGTCCTTGTCTAACCAGCCTTTTTGAATATTCTCCAACGGTGCCTTGTCTGATGAATTCTCCTAAAATAAATGCACAGATGGAGACTTTAGAGTGTAGTTTGCACTGAAGTAATGGCTGAGACTCTGATTAGCTTGGTGCTGTTAAAGCATTACAGAGCAGGTCAGTAAGCAGACACCGCTGGTATACATTAGAAATAGATTCAGCATGTGTTCTTCATTCCTACAGTGCAGCTTTGTGCCAGTTTTGAGTCAGTGTTTCCCTGTTTCCATTCTTCTGAGACTGAATATGCAAGAGAAGAATATGTAGTCGGCTCAGCGTGTGAAAATTATATGCAACAGTAGAATCAAGCCTATTGTCAGCTTTACTAAACAGGCTGAACGTCCTTACAGAATCGCCATCCACAGATCGATGACAGCCTGCAGACAGATTTTGAAGAATTACACGTAAAAGCTGTAAATCTAAAAATATAAGTATTTGATTGGGCTAAATCACAACATAAGATCACATTATAAATTCAAATTAAATAAATCACATAAAATTTTAGCAGTAGCAGTAACACAGGCACCCTACAGTACGCATGCAGCAAGATCTATACGTCAATATGCATTTTCCTCCCAGGAGGCAGGATCCAATCAGAGCTTGATTGGTGCTTTTTGTGTCAGAGGACAGACAGTCGCTTGCTTCATTTACCACATGCAGACATGTCTGAGAGCGTGTTAGTTTAGATTGAAGCTAGACTGTTAAATCCGCTGGGCCAATATGCCCACCCGATATATATTATATATATATATATCAGTATTGGCGTGCATTATGAGATGGAAAGTGAACTTTCAGTCCAGAACTGCCAAACTTTCGGTGTCACTATTTCAGAATCATAATTTCATAGTCCGACTCATATCTTCCACCCCTCTTAGTTACTGTTGGTACATCTGGCAAACTTGGCAGTGGCAGATTTACAATACAGAATACTAATACTGTTTATTTGATTAAGTCATTTTCACACCAGTGGTTCTCTGATGTTAGACACAGGTAAACAAAAGCAAGCTTCTCATTTGTAGCCGAGGACTTTGAATTGTCAGATATTGTCAGTTGTAGCTTGCTAGTGTCAGCTGGTTCAAAACCGGTTTGTGTGTAAGGAGAAGAGTTCTCTTTTTGGAACAAATCTTCATCCTATATAACACTCTTCATACACTGTTGAGGGCAAACAGGGGATTACTCGGTACACTGCGGCAGATGTCTACTACAACAAGCCGCCCTCACAACTCTGAAGCCTGTTATTTTTTTTAAAGAAAGGAGAATCCCATTTTCTGTAGATGTTTTTTATGAATCAACTATATCTCATTCTTTTTAGGAATGGGAGGTTCTTTTAATCTCAGGGTGTGCTGTGTTTGTGTGTGCGAGAGGAAGTGTGACCCAGAATGAGAGTAGCACTGAAAGAGAAAGGTGAAATTACAGAAATTTCCTTTCCAAAAGAAGCCCATTACATTCCAACTTACCCTCCTCCTTTCCTTTAATAAATCTCCCTCCTTCTCTTCAGCCGTATACTGTAAATACTACTTTAATCTTAAATGTCAGATGTGTGGCCTTTGTGAAGCAACAGAATGAGCGCAAAGGTTTTCTGGGATAATGTCTGCTTTATTTCACACCCATTTCCTGCATTTGTTAAAGAAAAGAGTGCAGGTCATCTTAAAGCTAACTTGCAACAGTTCTTTCTGGTCAGTCAGACCCCAGGAAGGAGTATGAATCCAGCTCCAGCTCTAAACACACACACAAAAAAATATTATTTCATCAATTTGTGCCATGGCAGCAAACATGTATGTAGAGAAAATGGTAATATTAAACCTGATTAATTAAAAAAAGTTTCATATTGTTTATATAATCCTCTGCTACTTTCAAAGTCAGACAAACACATCAGCCTTTTTATGTTTTCTCTGCTTAGTTTCCATCTTTACCCCAACAAAGTTTCTCCACCTGAGGGGTTTAGATCCCAAAAAGACAAACATTTATTTTTGTCAGTCGAATTGTTGAAAGACTGCATAGAAAAGTATTTCTGTTGTACAGATATTATCATATTCATAGTTTTTGTAATGAATATTGTTTCCCCTGCATGTAATTTTGAGCTTAGACAGCCTTATGCCTCATTCCAATGATTAATCAAGTGAAATTGTCTGAAAGTGGTCTGATAAAACAAAATAAACTGGTGTGTGACATGAGTCAGCAAAGAATGATAAGCTAAAATATTAGATATCCTTTTTCCTCTCTCTACCTTCGTCATTCCACCTCTTTCTTTTCTATCTCCCTACTCTTCCACTCACCCACCCACTCACCCCCCACTTCCTCCCAGTACACCACCCACCTCCACCAGTGACGAAGAAAAGCACTTCCTGGGGTCACGCTGTGTCAGAAACGTGCTGTTGAACCTAATTACTCCACAGGAAGGAAGGTTTAAAGAGAAAGAAGAAAGGGGACAATCAGAAAACTCTCAAAATCTAAAACATGCTTTACATTTTACATTACATTTTATTTTTCAACATTATCATAGCCCTCCCCACAATGTCCTAATGCTCAGGTGTTTGCTTGGCTCCTTGGGGCTAGGAAACTTGTAAAAAAGAGTTTTAATGTGACTCCTTGGCTGCCAGTTCTCCCACAAGGGTCGTTGCGGTTTCCTTTTTATCTCAGCAGAGCAGTTACCAGCACTGAAAAGTTCCCAGAGTACCTTTAAGCAAGGGCAAGGAGAACATGTCACCATGTTTGTGTCCTATTTTAAATTAGGGAAACATCATCATCAAATACTTTAATACAAGGCAACAGGTTATTGCCCGCCATTTGTTACAAGGCTCGTCTCTGTCTCTGTAAATCTGCCCTTCTCGTGTCTTTCTCCTGGAGGGTAATCCCAGCTGTCCTTCTCCTTCTAATTAGTTATTCCCTCTCTTTCCTGATGTGCAGGAAAGCAGTTCTGGGTGTTTAAGGACACGGTGTTGCAGTCTGGATACCCCAAGGACATCACCCAGTTTGGCCACGGTATGCCAGCCCAGAGCATTGAGACCGCTGTGTGGTGGGAGGATGTGGCCAAGACCTACTTCTTTAAAGGGGACAGGTGGGTGCAACAACGAAGATTGTTTTCACAAGCGATAAGGAAACTTTAAAAAAAACTTCAATAATTTAGATATCATGTCCCTTGAAACTACAACTTTGCAAAAAACACAGAATATTCTGTCTTACAAGCAAACGCACTTGTGTATTTGTAAGCAGCATGCACAATATTAAACATAAATGTCACCATTTCATGTATTGTACGAGAGTTAGTGTCAAGATGTTTTTTATCTGCAGGTCCGTGGAGGGTCCCAATTAAAACACAGATACAAAAGTATACATAAAAGTACATCACACCTTAACTATGATGCTAAAACAGCAGATTGCTGTTTTCAAGTATTTCAAGTACTATTTCAAGTATGGTGGGCGACATTGTTTCAAAAACCCACACAGTTGATTTTACGTAGCCTTTTCAGTCTTCAAACAAGTACACTCTGCAACCAAGTTTTCACAACCACAAATTGGTGTCTGCCGTTCATGATTATCACCACATTCCTGTTACCAAATGAAATGCCAACAGGGCTTCCCCACGGTGAACATTGACCCCAGGCCATCCTTGTGTCAACACTGATTTTGACCGAAGAAAGTTACTCAGTTTCAATTTCACTCAGCTAACACAAACATCTGTGACACATTAAAGGAAAACTCAACTTATGTGTCTTTGTAAGGTGTTCATGAGCATCCAAACAGCTGCGATGCTGTCTGGCTGAAGTCTGTGGAACTATAGTGCAGAGATGAAGATATTCCCACATTTGGTTTTTTGATGATGAAGTAGAGAACGTATTGCACTTTCATAGTCAGGGATTTTGCAGGTGACAGATTTTAAAACAAGAATGGTCAAAGTCGAGGCAGCAGAGGCTGAGATATTCTCACCTGTGGTACGACTATAAGATATGAGCATAAAATACCATCTGTTCTCAATTGTACCTGCATTTATTAATGTACAGTACCTGCTTTGTCTTCCTGTGGCTCATCATTTGTTCCTGTTTAGGTACTGGCGCTACAATGAGGAAATGAGAACCATGGACCCTGGCTATCCCAAGCCCATCACAGTGTGGAGAGGTGTGCCTGATTCGCCGCAGGGAGCCTTCGTTGACAAAGCCAATGGTACGAATTGTCCTGCCCGATACTCTGATTTGGCAATAACAGCACGGTTCATGTGCCAGGCAGCATTGATTTCAGCTGGTCACTGGCACACAGTGTGCGGGAGGTAAACCAGAGTAGCATTGATTGAAATTTGCCCTAGTTATTACAGTCCCAGTGAGTGGCACACTTCCATAAATGCAATATCAGGGGAAAAAGGCTGATAGAGAGTGTGTACAGCAAATGAAAGATAAAAAGAGGTCAGTTTATCCAGATTAGTTTTTATGTTTTTATTTAAATTTTTTTTTCAAGTTTAGCAAGCAGAATGTTCCATAATCAGTCCATCCTGCTCACTGTGCCATAAGACCCAGTTGGAGCAGGATTGTGGAAAGCAGAAAGGACAAGACCACCGCTGGGCGCTCATTCCGGTTTAAGCCAGTTGCCCATTGCCAAAGGAGGGTAGGCGGGATTAAGAACTGTCAAAGAACTCACCCATTGGCCCGTCAGATAGTGTGAAGGGGGAAAACGCTTTTCCCATTGGATGTATTATGCCAGGTGGGTTCGGGCCTGGTCTTGGCATCGCCTGGGTTGGAAAAATCATGGCAGGTGGTGCTGAACGCTCGGGCCATCTGTGCCCAAGATTTGCTGCCAGATCCGTAGCAGGGCGTGTCTGCCGGTGAGAGCAGGTGGAGCGGGCATCAATCGGAGCATGAAGGGTGGATTGATATCCAAGGGGACGATGGGTGCATCGCATGTATTTCAGCTGGTATAAGTGTCGGGTTGTATTTATTTGGCGGGCTCGCTGTTTGCGGAGACAGCGTGTCAAGCGGCGCGCTCATAACATTGACCCAGATAACCAGCCATAATTGAGTGCGCTGCTGCTGCTGCCGATGGTAATGTGTGTGAGGCAACACGTTTCAGAGTAGGGGCCTCTGGGCGGGGGTTGACCTGGCTCTAACCCACAATAGCTCAGGCTGTCTCACCTCTCCTCTCACTCTTAATATTCATGGTTATCACAGAACTGCAAGTTCAGCAACCTCATCTCTCTGTTGCTTCATCCGGATCGTTCTGTCTCTAAATAACAATCATTTGTGTTAAATGTAGGAGAAAAGTGTGGCAGAAGCTGCTGCCAGTTGGAATGAAACCCCCCCCCCAAGAGCGGTTGTATTTCTTTAGCTAATCACAATACTCAGCTGAACTCTAAATGAGAGATTGGAGACGGTTGTGTGTGGATTGGCTCGTGTTTCATTGCTGACACTACCACATGTTGCTCAGACTGTAACTGGTCAGGTTTTAAGGACCCTTAATGAAACAAACTACTTGTCTACCACTCATCCAAACTAAATAAGTTCTGATGGAAGACCTGTGCATTCTTCTTTTAAAGGAAATATATTAAATTAGAGGTATTTGTCATTTGGGGAAATGCACTTATTTGTTTTCTGCCATGAGTTGCATGAATAGATTGTTACTGCTCTTATGGCTGTACACAGTATAAAGCAAGGGCTGCTAGGCAATTAGCTTAGCTTGGCACAAAGACTGGAAGCAGGGGGAACCAGGTAGCCTGGCTCACTCCACAGTTCAAAAAATAGCCAACTCACTAATGCACAAGTTGTATCACGTTTGTTTATGTGAAACAAAAGAACAAATTGCAGTTTTAGAGGGAATTATGTTATGTAGCTTTTGTCTACAAGACTCCAGGAAGTCACTGCTCCTTACTCACACCAAAAAAATAGCTAAAGCACGGCATAGCTCCCTGTAAAAAGGCACAATGTAAGAGATACAACGTGTTCATTTGTGAGCTTTCAATGGACAGAGCCAAACTATTTCCCCCTGCTCCCACTCTTCATGCTAAGCTAATTATTTGGCTAAGCTAATTGCTTCCTGACTCAATCTTCTCTCGGTGAGAAAGTCGGTAAGTGGTGTTGCCAAAATAATCTCTGTGATTTCCTTCTGCTCATAAATTAGTTGTAAGATGTCAGTCATGTAGGCACACAGTCTGCTGGGCATAGAAAACACCAATAATCAGCTAAAATAATGAATTATACAGAGAGAAGAATTTTAATTGGGTTTTGCTGCTATCAGATGACTTTGGACTTTGCTAAAAACATAACACTGAATGAAAAACATATTGGATTAAAAAAAATAAACTGAACAAAAACATCCTATAAAACCTCAATCAGTTTGTGGGACAAAAAGTCCCACAAACGCATGGGAAGACAATGTTTTAAGGGATGAATCTTTTAAAACTTCAGTCTTGTTCTTCCTCACTTCCTCACCACAAACATCTCTGCCTAACAAGTGATTTAAGAAGCCCTGGCTTTTCCACAATAGCCATCTTGCCATCTGACTGGAAATTTTGAGCATTTCCCTCCCTTATTTTCCCCGAGAAGAGTGTGCATGAATAATAAATCGCGAGAAAATAAAGTGTGAAGGGGGCCAGTGAGGAAGAGGAGAGCTTGAGAATTCAGCCAGGCTGTCATATTCAGTTTTACACAGCATATATTTTCCCAAAAAGCATCTCAGGGACAGTGACTCGCAGGTGGCAGCAAAGTTTAGTGTCAACCCAGTTAGACACAACATTTTCACAATAAGTTATTATCATGGCACAGAAAAAAATCAAATGTCATTTCACCACATTGTATGTCTTTATTGAAACTTGACATTATGTTACAATTTATTCATTGTCTAAATGTTCGCTGGAATGGGGTATACACTATGTGTTTGTAGAGAAAAGAAAAACATTTTTGTAAGCTTCTGTCACCATTTTCATTGCTGACACAGAGGGACCCATGTGAAATAACCCTCACTTTTTCATCAAAAAATGAACACTGGCTCACCGTGTAAGCAGACTTATGAATTTGTGTGACATCGGGACAATTGCTTTCACATTCCCGCTCGGAATAAAAACTGCCACCCTTGTGACTTGAAAAGCACGGCAGCCGCTTGGTTCTCGGTGACATTTGTTGTGCTGCTGTGTGATATTAGCTGTGGGGTTTGGCTCCTGGTTGGGTGTGTTTTCTTTTTTATGACCAGATATAATTAGTCCTGAGGGACATTCAGAGACATCTCAGCTGAACAATAGAGCTGAAACGGAAACAGTGGCTCAACAGCAGAGCAGCACACACAACTGGTTCAGGTGCGCTTGCTGTACCGCAGTGGCAGGATATCAACACTTCGATTTCAGTTCAATCCGTTTTTGTTTTGTGGTTTTTTTTTTTTTTTTTTTTTTTTAAAAAAAAGAAAAAAAAAAAAAAAAAAAAAAACAAAAAAAAAAAAAAAAGCATAAGTTGGCTGAGTGTTTCAATTAGAAAGAAAATGCTGTCTGAATTGAAAGTGAGCTTAACTATGCCCTGCTTGACAGACGTATGAACAACCTTAAACACAGACAGTGATGGCTTGTTGTCCAGGTATCTCTTTGGCTTATCTGGATTCTAATTATATTTATATAAAAGTTATATATCAGTTTTTAAAGAGCAGCTAAACACCCCCTGACAATCTTGTCAGTGCACGATATACTTACAGGTTTCTGTTTCTTCTTTCCTTCCTCCCTCAGGTTTCACCTACTTCTACAAGGGTAAGGAGTACTGGAAGTTCAACAATCAGTTCCTCAGAGTGGAGCCAGGCTACCCGCGTTCCATCCTCAAGGACTTCATGGGCTGCGAGCTGACGCCCATCGACCCCGCCCGGCCGCCGGGCGACGACGGCAACTCGGACGTGGTGATCGAGCTGGACAACGAGGCGAACACGGTGAAGGCCATCGCCATCGTCATCCCCTGCGTGCTCGCGCTGTGTCTGCTGGTGCTGATCTACACCGTGGTTCAGTTCAAGAGGAAGGGCACGCCACGCCACATACTGTACTGCAAACGCTCCATGCAGGAATGGGTCTGAAACATCGGAACGAGATGAGAAGGTGGGGTGGCGGAACAGACAGGTGAAAACAGGACAACAGCCCCCACTTTCACAGAGGAGGAAAGTGGACTTTGGACATCTTTAGTGAAAACACACAGCCACGCCTCCTCCTTTTGGGTGGTCTGATACCTTCGATCAGACCCACAAAAACAGCCAGACAGCCTGTTGGCGGCCCCCTCGCGCATAAGGTGACCCCCAGGACTTAAAGTTGACTCCGCTAACCCCGAGCCTTTTTAACAAACAGGGGAGCAGAGGGACAGTTTGTGGGGGATCTTCGCCTGAAATGACCTTCAGTCCCAAAAAAAAAAAAAAAACAGGAGGGTCAGCATCACTTTGTATCTCAGAAACTTGACTTCCTATCCCATTCCTCTTTTTTTTTTTTCTTCGCCCGATTGCTCTTAATCAGAAGGAGGACTTTGAGGGGGACACGCACTCTTCCCACAGGGCACTGCATTGCCATCTGTCATATCAGGTTGTTTATAAAACAACATTTTATATTGTCTGATCTTGGTGCCCCTCCCCCTCCCGCTTCATACTGCGCTCAAAAGATAAACAGTCTCAGATAAACACAAGTTAATCACATTACCAATCTTCAATCCCTTTTCTGTTCTTTCATTTCTTTATTTGAATTCTTTTGAGAAAGGAGGTCCTCACTGTTCCCTTTAACACGCTCCTGAGGAAGAGACCAAACTAAACCAAATAAAATCAATTTCTCTCCAAAGAGGATCACTTTTTCTTTGGTTTTCTTTTTCTTTCTTTCTTTTTCGTTCTCATTTCAGTTCATCCTTTCTTCTCTTCTCTGGATCCGTGCAGTGATTAAGAGTCGGGGAGCTCTGACTGTTGTGGCAGTCTGTTTGAGACACAGGGGCCAAATTATTCTGCAATATTTTAACTCGCCTTAATTATAGATCATACTATTTGTGCTTGGTTTTGCTGTTCTTGGAGTTGTTGTTTTCTCTTTTTTTTATTTGTATACCGCTTTTGTTTTTGTTTGTTTGTTTGTAACAGAAGCTAATTGTGAGCTTCCTGTGATTGTTTTTTCTGGATTTAATTACGTTACCCAGAATCCTCAGCACTGGCTTGCTGAGCCACTCTGGACAGAATATACAGTAGGGTCAGCCTGTATTGAGAGTAATGTATTGTATCGTAAAAAGATGTCGGAAGGTTCTGGAGTCAAGCCACTATTTTTGTGTGTTAAAATATTTGTTACTGTTACTTTTATCCTTTCCATACGACAGACATCAGGCTAATTATGAGCCTCAGAGTTTTTGTTATTGGATTTGCCGATATATATTTTTTGTCCTTGGCCCATATCCCCCCTCGGTTTTAAAGAAGTGCGCATCCAAAATGGTCATTCTGTATGGTTATTTGTGAATGGACAGACCATTTTTTAAACGAATCCTGTTGACTGCCTTGTTTGAGAGAGCTCACAGTTCCAAGAATGCTCTTGTCTCCTGACTGAGGACCCACAAAGTGAGACACCAAGTCAAGATCAGTGCCTGTGTCAACGTGCATGCAAGCATTTACATACTGTACATCCAACTGGTTCTGCTCAACGTGGCTTTGGAACCCCTCAAACGCTGAGGAGGAAGTTCTCTCTTGAAAATACTTGTTTGCATTTATTTTTGTACATTTTAAGTGTACCCCAACCCCCCTTCCCTAACCCCCAGGTACAATTAAATCTAAGAAAAAAACTATTAAAAGATTCAAGTGGTACATTTGGGAATTCTTTGGGAAATCCAATGGGTGATTGGAATATTAAATTGGCCTCAACAAACCAAACAAAGGTTAGCAAACGTAGTGTCCTCGCTGTCATGGCGAGCAGTCTTTGAATGTGTGTCTGTTGTCATGATCACATACTGCTTTTTTCTTTCTTTCCTGTTTTCTGGTCAAAACAAATTGGACATCTCACCATGACTTCTTTGTGTAAGACTTTGGGACAACGGAGAAACGTGTCCTGACAGA